CACCAGATACGGGAAAACTGAATATTGGTAAAAATAAAAAAAAAATAATCAATGAAACCCGTAATTTAATATAAATTCATTTATTATAAAGAAACTCATTATTTCATATTGTGTAACAAATCTTTTCCAACAATAACTTATGAAAACTCATATTCATGCATTATTATTTATCACATAGAAGATAACAAAAAACGATCATTTTACATTTTTACCTACTTACCAGTACCCTTGGGAGTCCATATGGATATCCTCCTAGTTGTGAATCTAATATCCAATTAAACAGTTAACCGGTCATCCCCATACCCCGCTTGGTATGGGCGCCAAATATGCCACCATCTCGATACTCTATCCGGTATGAGCGTGAATCATATCTCCCAAAACCTTACTGGTAAGGGACTTCTCAGCCTCATCCGACTGAGGTAACGTTCACGGTAAATTTCTTTATGTATTGGGTCCATCCACCCTTTTCCGGATACCCAGTAAGTCTTTTCTATACAGATTTCCATAAGCATAACAATCAACCATGCAATAAACATATCTCATTTTATACTCACCGTTCACTTAAATAACAATATAGTTTAACACAACAAAATAACCAACGACCGGAATACCGGCACGCAATGCATGGGAAACAAATAAAAAAATAACCAAAAAGATCCTAAAAACTATCAATCAAATTACGCATAGTATAATAGTAAACAAATATAGAAAATAGAAATGACTGTGAACTAACCGGTTTTCGCTCCATTAGTGATGTATAATTATTTTTAAAGTTCTCTAATTTTTTTATAAAAATACACAATTATTAGTTATTAAGCCTCAATTTTCAATAATGGAGAAAATGATGAGGGATACTTATCTGGATCAGTATTTTGGGACGCCGCACTGTCTATTACGTTTTCTAATGGGTACCGAATTTCCTGAATTATCTCTGTAGAATTCAAAATACTTGTCACATACCTAAAAATACCTTAGGAATCTAAAATCGGTGTCTAAAACTTGTTTCGGCCAATTTCAGGGTCCCAGCACGGCGACACTGCCGCACTCTGGCGCTAGCTCTGCCGTCCGCGGCAGTAGTTCGCCTTGGCCTAGTTAGTTTTGACCAGTTTTTGGGCGATTTTAGTTGTATCCCTGTAGAAAAACATGTTAGGAGCCTCGGTTAACCGAAAAACGTAAAAAATCAAACTCACTGGCAGGAAGAGACCTCCGGGCGCGGCGGCTCCGCCAGTTCTCCTTCGCAATTAAGATTCTTTCTTTGGTCAACCTGCACAGAAAAAGATAATGAACATAATGGTTGAAAAATCACATAAAACATGAATTAGGAAAGAGCTCATAGGAGGAAGTTAGGGGTTATGCCCGCGATTTTCGGCTTACCCACCATTCATTTTGCTCCGATATGACTACAGGGGTGTTCAAAATCGAATTCCGAGCAGGTAAGAGAATTTTTACCATTTTTTACGGTCAAAAGTGGCTCTGGTGCAGCGGCAGTTTGCGGTTGGCTCATTTCTCTAGTAACTGGTTCTTCTTCTTTGACGGGAGGCTGACGAGTAGGGTTCGGGTTCAGTGTGATGCGAAATATTTATACTCATCTTGCGTTAATCTAGGCCGTTCATTGCGTTTGATCTCAATTGTTCGATCGCATCTAAGGAAAAAACGAATCTAGACTGTTCATCACGATTTGATCTTAACCATCCGATCGCATTTAAGGAGAAAATGAATTTGGACCGTTCATCGTAATTTGATATTGACTGTCCGATAGCGTTTAAAGAAAAAACAAATTCGGGTCGTCCTCACCTGTAAGATTGATCCTGGGCCATTCAATCACAGGGCATGCGAATCGCCCACGTGGCATCGAAGTCAGCATGTCTTATTACGCTGCGTGCTCTGGTTCATCAGGGTTACTGACTGGGCGGTTCTACGTGGCAAAATTTTTCTTATTTGCACTCTGACCCCTAGTTTCCGATTTTTCTTTCAAAAACACTCATCGAATCCAAATTTTTACTCATTTTTTCCAAAAATTGTTTTTAATTTCATCATTAACCTATTTTTTCATAAATTTAATAAAAATTAAAATAAATTATTTTTTAAAAAATTATATATTTAAAATATTAAAATTGATTCTGAACCAAATTCTAGGCCCAGGTATTATATTTTCTAACTGAATTCGTATATGTACTGATTGCTATATAATTGGGAGTATATTAAGGATATGTAAAAGAGTTTAAGGTGATGAATAGTTACAGTATGTATGTTATAGGTATAGAATATATTAAATAATAAAATTAAATAATTTATTAGTGAGTTAAAATAAATTAATAGACATTAAAAGATTTGAAAAACTTATTTAACCGGTATCACCGAGGAGTGGATGTGTGTGTAGCCTTTTGGCGTGTGACTGTGGTGAACTCTACATGTGGATACGGTTTTAGCAAGATGTGGCAAAACGATAAGAACTGTGTACTACAAATTGAATTGTAATATATTCACGTGGTAGAAGGGATCTTTACTGCTCTAACTTATACCGGTGAAAATGGCATCGCGCAATGAAATTATTTTTAATAAAATATAAACGGATAGGAATGAATTGAAAGTCATGAGTAGAGTTTACGATACTAAAAAATTAATATCTACTGAACTGCTTAAATTATGATACTGAATACTGAATTATGCTATTTATTGAACTATTTACGCCATGAATTATAATACTGAAATAAAAAATTCTAAACGTTTACTAAATAAGCTGATTTAGAAGATTTGGTGCTTGAATTAGAGTGTAGATACCACACGTTTTCTGAATTAAAGAGAAAAATATTTTGAACCATCTCCGTCGATAGTTTTATGTTTTCTACCAACTTGGATAGATTATCCTATTATTTGTTGGTGCTTACATGCATACTGAGCATATGATAAACTCATCATATTTATTATTTATTTATTCTAGATCAGGATATTCAAAATTTCTGCTCTTGAACAAAGAGAGACTTGTTAAGAGATCTTTTAATTTTTATTTTAATTCGAATGATACTTAACGTTAATTATTTCGTTTTTAGTAAGTACTTATTTTAGAGTTTAGATATGTTTCATAGATATTGAATATTTTAAGTTAAGTATATAAGGGATGTACTTTTATTATTTTAAGATTTGCTATGCGAAGTATTCCTATTGATTATCTTATTATAAATTATAGACATTCAGTCAGGACTCTGAGTGAGAGTTTGGATCATTAGAATATCACTTTTTAATCGAACCCAATTAATTTAATAGACTTTTATACACATTAATTTATACATATAAGCCCATATAATAAATTTAAAATTTAACATTAAATTGTATTAGTAATTACAAATAAAAATATTAACAGATGTACGGAATAAAATTAAAAATAGTTTTCTCTTAAATTTTAACATGGCACACAATAAATTTTTAGTTTTATATTACAAACTAGATATGCATTTACTTTTATACTATGTATGAGTTTCTTCAAACTTAATCAAATTAAATATGTAATACCTAATACCTATGCTACCACTTTAAGAAGAGATCTTAAGGAAAAGAAATCAATAACCCTTGAATAATTTTTCAGCATTCAAAATTATAGTAGACATTCATCCAATGTCTTATCTCCATTATACCAAAATAATAATATTATTATTAAATAGATAATTTCATAATGTTAACTTACTTAATACCCATCTCAATATGTTACATAGAAAAAAAAAAAATTGTATAACATGGGAAACTTTTATTTTTATTATTATTTTTTAAAAAAATATTTACTTATAAGAACACGATTGTTATAGTTTAACCAAATTAAATTTTAGTTTGACAGAAATATAAATATTTAATATTTTTTAAATTTTAAATTATAAAAAATACTCAGCATTTTAAGATACATAATATTTATATTTTACAATTAAATATATTAAATAATACATAATCAATATAAAAGAAAATAAAGATAATTATTAGGTTAAAAATTAGTTAGTTAAATAAATTTAAATTTAGAGATACTAGTATTCAAAAATACAAAAAGAGTAAGGGGGATGGAGTCTATTTTATTATTGGTTTATTGGATTTGCTTTTTGCATAACATAATGTATCAATAACTAAGAAATGATATTATAATTTGGCTTTACATAAAATAATATGAAACAATAATATATAGTAACTAAATATTTTTATATTAATTTTTCTACATTTAAAAAATAAGGCTAAAAAAGAAAAATAGTAAAATATTTATTTTTCATTTAAATTATATTGAAATTTAATTAGAATTAGACCCACAAATATCTAATCTAATTTTTTAAGTGCAGACAAGACTAATTTAATGTGTGAACACATCTAATTTTTATTACCAATTTTTATATTTATTTTTTAACCGTTAGTTTAACCAAATTAAATTTGGATTTGGGAGAAATATAACTATTTAATTTTTTCTTAAATTATAAATAAAATAATTACTGTACTGTCCTGTGGTGGATGAGGTTGGTAAGCGAAAAAACCAGCAACAGAGAGCAAGAACAATGGTTCTTCTCTCTTCCACTCTTTCCTTGCCAAGCCTATCCCTGTTCAGGTAAACTGAAACCCACTCTTTCATTCTCTCCCTTCTCGTACCTCATAATTTTCATATGTGGGTTTTTCAGTTGCAGAGCGGGTGCCTTTGTAAACCAGAAGAATAGCAGGTTACATGAGAAATTCATTTCATGTTCTTTCTCTCCTTCAAAACTCGCTTCATCAGATGGATTTTGCAGAAGAGATTTGCTGCTTTTTGGTCTTTCTTCTTCGCTATCTCTACTCTTCCCCTTTTCAGGTTGACACTTTTTTTTTATTTTTTATTTTAATGGAGAATTAAGAATACTTTCCGCATACATTATACTTTTAAGCTTCTCTTTCATGGCTTCCTGACCCTCATTTCATTTCGCCCAGTCTTTCCCTATAAAAGTAGCTGATGCGTTATAGGTCGCACTGGTCATGATATTGGAAACCACCACGATTTGATGATGGATCAAATTGCCTCAGTTACAGATTAATTTACTATATCAGCTCCATTGCAGGAACCCTTGCTGAGGAAGATCTCAAAATGGCCCCTTTCGTTGATGAGATAAATGCTTATACCTACTTGTACCCAGTAGAGTTGCCATCTAACAAGTTCGTTTTCAAATGGTAGAATTTCTGCATCAAAGTTAACTTTGTTACAAATTTTTTCATTTTTCCTTTCTTTTTTCTTTTTATACATTTTGATTGTTTTGTTCAAGTTAGGAAATATTACATGTTTATTCTCTATGGTAGATATATAAGATATGTTAAAAACAATGCATGTATGCCTGAAAAGTTAAGGCTCCGTCTGGTACTTTTACAACATGTCATCATATCGTTTATGTTGAATATGGGGTGGGAGTTGCTTCATTTGACTCCAAAGTAGGGGATTTTGTAGGAATGGCATCTCCATATTCCTACAAAATGACACGCGTAGTTCAAAAGTTTGCCCTTTGTTTCCTTAAATGAAATATAGAGACAGCTATTTTCTCTACAATACGATTACAAAGATGAACTACGTTTTTGGCCTAAATTAGAATGTAGCAATGTGAAACTTGCTTTGTTTAGTTTTTTTTTTTTTTTTCTTTCTTTTTGAAGGGTGGAATCTAGGAAGCCAGAACGGTACTCGTCAGCAGCTCCATTATCGCGTAAGTTCAGTCATTCTAATGTTAGTTTTTTATCCAAATGATCAAGTAAAACAAGTGAACTCAAATCTTTAAGCATTTTCCCTTTGCCACTCCAAATAATTTTAAGTCGGAGAACATATTGGTGGCAAAACATCAGCAAAGCTGTTTCTGGATCATTTTCTTTTTTTAGCAATATCCTGCCTTGAACACTTGCTTTTTAAGGTCAAGTTGGATAACTCTTGTTATGATATTATATAACTAATAAGGTATTGGCATAAATATGACACAGCTAATGCACGCCTGCGTATTGTGTCAGAACGTGTTGACATAATTGACAACCTCATAATTTCCGTCGCAGTAAGTTTCTGTGCAACCTAATTCTTACTAACCTCAGTTCCTTCTATTTATTACTTGGAGTTTATTATTTATGTTCATTTATCCAGATAGGTCCCCCAAATTTTCAATTTATAAAATCAAAGGATAAGAGTACATGGACAGCCAAAGATGTCGCTGACTCTGTTTTGTCTGACAAATCTGCATTGGTAATCCAACTTTCTCTTTTTAGTCTGTTTTACTAAATTCATAAAATTTGATTTGTTCTCAGCTTAGAATCATATACTGAATGTACTGAAATATGAATTCTGAATGAATTTTGCTATGGATAAAGTTTGTTTTATGTGCTATCTGAAACGTTTTCATGGATTCAATTTAAGGTTGAAATTTATTTGAAGCTAATTTCTTGAAGAGAGATTATCTTTGTTGAACTTTTAGAAGTCTAATCATACTGTATAAATACTGGGGTCAAAAAATGTGTAGAAGGTGAATGTTTGAGCACTTTTCTAGAAGGGAAGGAAAGCTGAAATCTTGTCTCTTTATCATATTTTGCTTTGTAAAAGAATGATAACAAATTTCCAAGATGTTTGCATAGAAGAGCAGAAGCTTCTCTGCTTCTACTTCTTTCTGGAAATTTAACTCACTGACTTCAAGATTGGCATCCTTATCTATATGCAGCGGGTCACTTCAAGTCAACGCATGGAAGAGAGTTCAGTGCTTGATGTGCATGGTAGTGAAGTAAGCTGCAAAGCCTTGCTCAGTTTACATTTTCCAATATTGATATAGGGCATTTCTGATGGGGTGTGTTCTACACAGCTGTAAACATTTCTTAGAGAATCTATACATACATGTATGTGCCTATAGCTGACACAGCTGATGGAAAATATAAAGAATATTACATCATTTAAAATTTCATGTGCCTAAGTTTATGTGAATGTGGAATTTGTCTCAATAATTTGTTTCCGTAGATTGATGGTGAGCCATATTGGTACTACGAATATCTGGTTCGCAAATCACCTACCAAAACTGTAAGCGTTTCTTGCTCAAATAGAAATTGTTAGTGGAAGGCTTTTTACAATATTGCAGGATGATGATGCCTCAAATGGATTGTTTTGTGCAGGCTCCGGAAGCAAACCTTTTCCGACACTATATAACTTCAACAGCGGAAAGAGATGGTATGACCAAAATGGTTGTAACTCCTGCTGCTAATTATTCCCTTGTTTCAAGTGTTAGAAAATAACTCTAATCTGATCTCAGTTCAATTTGCTTCCTCTTAGTGACACAAAGGATTATTAATTTGTAAGAATAGAATTTGAGAATGTGATGCAATAGATGCCAAAAGAACAATAAACGCCTTGAGACAAAAACATGGTGGAGAAACAAGGAAAAATCTAGAAATTTTTTAGCTTGCCTTCATCACTGGTTTGGCAGAATGTATTTGCAAAGGTGTTGTTTTATCAAATCGCCTTCTTTCTCTACTCTGTTTCATTCGGCCCCGCCATTTTTTTCCAGGATATTTATACTCGATAAGTGCTTCAACCCTTAACAAGCAATGGAGCAAGGTCTTTCTCTCTCTCTCTCTTTCTTAGCAATTTGTCTACTTGTGTGTGTAAGAATGTGCTATGCCTGTATATGGTTTGATGGCATGTTGAACTCTATGTTCGCAGATGGGGCCGTTGTTGGAAAGAACTGTGTCTTCTTTTCGTCTTCTTCCTCTCACAGATGACTATGTTCCTCCATACAAAGATCCATGGAGATTTTGGTGATTTGTTTTTCTTTTCTTTGTCAATTTTTTCTCATGTAATCTTGTTGGTAATAACAAATTCAGTTTTACTTTCCCTTTTTATGATGAGGCATGCTGGATATTATAATGAGTTTTGTGATTATAGGGTTCTTGTTTCTAATCGTCACTTTTTTCGGGCTTAAATACTAAATTAGTTTACACATTATTTTTAAATATTCGAATTAGTCTCGTAATATTTTTTTTGTTTTTGTTATTCCTCTACTTTCAAACAAATAGATACATGTCCGTTAAACATCACTGATGTTATAGTCAATTTGTCACATGGCAATAAGTTGATATCAGAATAGTGTATGTATTGAAAGGGACGAAGATACATACATACAAAATATTATATAAGTATTAGCCCGTTAGAATACCTAGATTATTACTGAATTTGAAAGACATCACTCCCCTAATGTAATATTGAATAAGGTTAATGAACTAATAACAATTGAAAACCCATAAAAATAATAATTTAATTACAATTCTAAATGGATTAATAATGTTAATTAACTCTAAAGTCAGAATAATATTAAATTTCTTTTTACAAAATTTTTAAGTATTTCCAAATAAACTTGAATTGATTGAAAAATTCTCCATTCTACAGACATATTTGATTCTAGTTCAACTAAAAGTTTACAAATCTTATTAGAATTTAAAGTTCCATGAAGAATATTAGTTTAGTATGTACACCTAATATCATCCTAATTAAGTACCTTAAATAACCTAATTAGTCTTTTGAATTGATTTATATGTAAACAACATCAATCAACATTTGACTGGTCTCTCATTTTTATTGTTTGAATTGATTTTGCAATTAATTTTGCATTATGTTTGTATAAATAATCTAATTAAGTATTATAATATGTAGAATCATTACCTTATTTTATTGATTTAAAGTTGTATATCATATATTAATCATGTTAATACAAGTATACTTTCCTCACCCTCCTTTGTTTTTCTTCTATTTATAATATTTTTATTTATTTTGTTTTAATCATATGCTCTTTTATTTTATTTTTCTTAATCCTATGGTTTGCTCTTTGATTTTTCTTTTCTTAATTGAATTTTTTTTTTTTTTGGGGACAAAATGAATGTATTTAACATTTGTCCATTTCCATGTTCTAATTTACTCTAACTTTTATTGCTTTCCAAATTTGATTTTGATTTTGATTTTGATTTTGAGTTTAATTTTCATCATAATTATCATCATCATCATATTAATATTATTATAGCAAATCATTGATTTAGTTCGTGAACTTCTTTAACAATTTTTTTTTCTTTAGTCATAAATTTACTTTTGTTATAAAGTAATTCTTAAATTCCTAAGTTTTTCAAAAGGATTTAAAATTTTAAGAAATAGAAGGAAAACTAACTTTGAAATTATTTAAGAAATAATTTTTCATTGTTTTCATTAAACACTCTCTCTTTTCTTCTGTCTTTCTCTCCTATTCATTACTCTCTTTCTATTCTCTCACAAACAATGACTTTTTCACATAAAATCAAACCCTTTATTCATTCTAAAATATATAATATTTTATACATACATATACACATACATACATCACTCACTACTTTTGAAATCCAAACAAAACCAAGATAAGAAGAAGAAAACCTGGTATAAACAATAAATCATCAAGACCCCTTATGGTAGCACCACAAGCACTTCATGCCACCTCTTTCGATCTCTAGAATACCTTAACCTTTATATTTTTAATTAAATGGTTATGTGTTAATTTTAAAAAATAAATTAAATAAAAAGAATAATCATTGCAAAATAGAGAAATAAAAAACATCACTTCTTAATGTTACGTTAACGCTTGCATGTTATGATAGCTTTTGTGTTTGTGTTCATATAACCTGATCTTCATATTCTTTTGGTACTTAATACCTAGTGATGTAAAGTAGGAAGTTGTCAACTTTCTTCAAGCCAACAGTAGAAGTGAGGTCGTGGAATGTTACTATCATTGTTAAGATCGGTATAATTGATATATTTGTTTTAACAAAGACATAAGAAGAAGTCTAGATTGAGTTAAATGTAGATCAATTAAGAATATACCAATTAAGAATATTAATTAAAAGTCAATTAAAAATGTGGAAATCAGACAAAAATCCTATAAATAGATTCATCTAACTTCAATTAAGTGTAGACTTCCTTTTATATCTTCATTGAAACAAGCGCATCAATTATAATAATTGTAATAGTGGCAATAACATTCCATGACCATGATAAGTAAATGATGATGCAAGTCACTTGTTTTTTCTTTTTCATTATGGACTTTTATAAGCATATGAAGATCAACATTTATAGACTTGTTATTTTGAATCTTCTAATTTTACCTATGATTATTAATTCTCTTATAATTTATTGAACGTTTTTTTTTTACTACAAAAGAAATAAAATAAAAAATATAGGCACGAATGAGCAATTAACTTAGCCTAAGCAATACTAAAATAATCTAAGTAAAGATAACTATGAAGATCCTGGGGAGCTTAAGCTAGCCTAATGCACCCTACCAACATATTGTGAGCCCATTATACAAGGCGACCAACCTACGAATTACCCTTTCTATGGATGTGCAAGATAGGGATCTTCTAATTTATTTCGAGAAGCGCCTTAATTTCATTCATATAGTTTTAGAGTAGCCATGATTTCTTAATTATTGAAGGAGTTATTTAAACATACAAGGAATCGATCTCAATAATTACATCATTCTTTCAAGCAAGCTAAAGGCCTTCTAGAATGTAACAGTCTGTCTAAATAAGACAAATTATAAATTTAGTATGGAAGCGAAATAAATAGTTAAAGTTTACACTCCTTACACAATAACTGAAAGTATTAAATAGGCCTTACGAGAATAACCATTATAAAAGAACAACTAATAACCAAAGAAATAAATTAAAAGTAAAACAAATTGAACGTTCTACTCACAATCCTTTTGTGGATCGAGCTTTGGATTCTAGTCCTTTTGATCTGAAATAGTTAATCAAAGAGTGAGTTATACTATCCCAATAAGAATATCACGCTACTTACCGACACAGAAATGAAGGTTGGTAGTAATCATAAAAATAACTAATTGAGTTCTTAATTTAAGTAAATTCGTTTATCATAAATAAAATAATTTACCGCATACTTACTGTAGTGAGATTTTTAAAAAACAACCTATAGAGTCAATAACGTAATATATATCATAATTTTATATACAATCAGTCGGAACAACAACCTTCCCTTTCATCAGCCTATTTGTATTCATGGGGGTCCATAGGGATGTCTCCATTACACGTGAACTCTCTTTTTTACATTTTCAATTAAGGGTCGTCCCCATACCCTGTCTGGTATGAACACCAAAAGATATCATCCTTTAATACCCCGTTCAGTATAAGGGTGAAATGGGTCGTCCCCATACTCCGTCCGGTATGAGCGTCAAATTACCAAATCTCGATACCTCGTCTAGTATGAGGCAACTTCACGGTTGGGTTCCGTATGTCACCAGTCCGTCCACCATCTCCCAGGATATCCAGTAGGGCTGTTGTTTCATTCATCCACTTAATCAAATAATTTTCCGTTTACGTTTAAATTCCAGTTTTTCAATTCAACCGTAATCACATAAAACAAACAAAACATGCATCAAAGGAATATAATTGCATTATCATACAAATTTTAGTGTATTATCATATATTCAAAAATTGTAAAATTAGGCAATCGGTTAAACATAACAAATAATAGTAAATAATCGGTTCTGCCTCCATTAGTAACCTATAATTAATTATGAATATTTTTTAAATTTTACAAAATACTATGTTTTTTTTAAATTAAACATCAATTCCATAATAGGGAATAAGGTGAGAAATTCTTACTTAAACTAATGTCCAAAATGCTAACTTTTGACTGCGTCTACTGGTTGGTTCTCAAGTTCCCTAAATTTTTCTTCGGAGATTAAAATGCATTTCAAGTACCTAAAAATATCCCAAAAGACCCAAAATCAGTGTTAGGAACTTTTTTTTGGTCAATTTTGAAATTTTGACATGGCGATGGCACCATCTCTCCTGGCGGCGGATTACCCCGGGTTGGTTGCTTTTGGCCGTTTTCTGCCACATTCCGCCAGTTTTGTACCAATCCATGCGAGAAACATGCTAATGCGCTTTGGTTACTAAAAAAGTTGAAAAAATCGAAACTTATCGGCGGCGGGTTTCTCCGGTACAGCAGCTCCACCAGCTCATCTTCGCGATTGAGTGTTGTGCTTCGGTTAACCTGTAGAGAACGAAATTGCGATTATAATGGTGGAAGAATTATGCAGAACGGGAATCGGAAAGTGTCTCATCGAAGGCCATTTTTACATTTTTCTGCAGCTCCGCCGCAGGACTTTACTCGCAGTTTTTTGTCAATCCGCTAGTCCTTTTGCTCCGATTTGGCCATAGAAATGTTTAAAATCAAATTTCGAGCAAATGAGATAATTTTTACATCTTTTGGCGGTTGGAAGTGGTTCTAGCGCAACAGCGACGATGATTGGCTTTCTTCCCTGCGACTGGGTCTTCTTCTCCAGCAGGGGTGTCTGGCAGTTAGGGTGATTTGATGTAAAGAAGGTTATTTATATCTCTCTCCTTTTAATCTGGATTTTCTATCGCACTTGATCTGAACCGTTCGATCACGATTAAATATAGAGTGAATATGGATCGTCTGATTGCATTTAAATAAGAAATGGATCTAGACCGTCCGATCGTGTCTGGGGAGGAAATTGGTCTGAATCGTCCGTACGCATGGGAATGAATCTGGACCATCTAATCGCGGGCACGCGGATCACCAGTGTGGCACCGCGTCAACGTCTCTTACCATGCAGCGCGCTCCGGTTTGTCGAGGCTGCTGACTGGGCATCTTACGTGGCATAATTTTTCTAAATTACGTTTTGATCCATAGTTTTTAATTTTTCTTTCAAAAATATCCCAGAACTAAAATTTTCACCTATTTTTTTCAAAATTTTTTCAATTTCATCCTCCATTTAATTTTTTTAATTTTTACATCAAATAAGAATTAAAAAATTAAAAAATTATATTTATTTATTAATTTTAATTACAATTAAAATTAATTAGGGCACTACATAGAACCCTCTAAGTCTCAACTTGCATCACACATCAAATTTTAAGATTGCACATGAAGCCATCAGCCCATTCTTCATGGTTGTTCGTGATAAGACGCCTAACGATTACATGACCAATCACGCCCCAAATTGAGATGTTCATATTGAGCTTGAACCACTCCAAAGGTTGGCTTATTTAACCCACCCATGAAAATCTGACTTGTCTTACCTGATGGCCGATCGTTTGAACTAGCTTATAATCGGCTTATGACTCAAGTGCTATATGAATAATATAGCTAGTGGTAGGAATAAATTTTTTTGTCATCACCCTTCAAAAATCACTTCATTTTATTTTCTTTTAAAGGATTCACATTGTAGTTGGGAAGATTGTTTTCTAGCTATGGATGCCATGAGAGCTGACATTGGTCTTCAAGTTCTATTTAATCAAAAAATCAAAGGAATAGAGAGGAAAACATGTGAAAAAACCTTAAATTGATAAAATCCTTCCATACATCTCTTGATAGGGGCAGTCACAGATGAATCGAAGTTTATCTTCTCTGTTACATTGCATTGGAGGCATTGATCACCCTTAAAGATATATCTCTATTTTCTTTAAGCATTCATAAGGAGATTATTCGAGTTTAAAAGCTACAAAAATGACATACTCGTTTAAAAATATGGAGAAACTAGTAAATTTCAAGAGTATATTTACGTGACAAGTAAAGAAAGTATAGTGAGGAAACTCATTAAACACTTCGTATAGTAAGGACTTAAATTGAATCGATGATGTTGTTAGAATTTTTATTTCTTAATTGATTTACTATATTTTTTAGACGTCTTTAAAAAATATGTTACGTTTTTTATTGAACTTTTTTAATTTAGTTGCACTTAAAATTTTCTAATTAAGTACTTGAATAAAGGGTTTATACTTGGTAAAAAAAAA